ACAATAAGACCTTTCTGTTTTCCGTTGAAACAACCTTCAGATTTTCATTGAAATAACCTTCTGTCCTTCTAGAAAAATACATTCTGGTCTTCATTCGTCTGAAAAAAGAAAAAACTTCTCGTAATCTACAATAAGACCTTCTGATCGCCTATAAGTAGGTCTTCTGGTCTTCTATGATAATACCTCGTCTTTTATGAGAATATCTTCAGGTGTTCTGTGAGAAGAACCTCTGCTGTTCTATGACAAGCCCTTCTGATCTGCTATGAGAATAAATTCTCGTCTGTAAGAAGAACTTCTGGTATTTTATGAGCAGATCTTCTGTCTTCTATAAGGCTTTTTGAGGATAAAATTTGATCTTCTGTAAAAAGCTTCTCGTAATCTACAATAAGACCTTCTGGTCATCTATAAGAAGGTCTGTTTTCCGTTGAAACAACCTTCAGATTTTCATCGAAAGAACCTTCTGTCCTTATTGAAAAATACATTCTGGTCTTCACTCGTCTGAAGAATAACTATTAATCTTCTGTAAGAAAAACTTCTCGTAATCTACAAATAAGGCCTTCTGGTCTTTTATAAGAAGGTTTTCTGGACTTCTATTTTCTGTTTTTCTGTTTTCTGTTGACACAACCTTCAGATTTTCATTGAAAGAACCTTCTGTCCTTCTAGAAAAATACATACTGGTCTTCATTCGTCTGAAGAAAAACTATTAATCTTCTGTAAGAAAAACTTCTCTTAATCTATAAGTACCCAGTAGTTCGAGTAACTGGTGATGAACTAGATATTTTACTAATTACCTGTAAGTACCACTAGTTACCACTTCATGCCCTAGACTGGTGAATTTAACATGTGTATGTCATTGGGAAAGTCAATTGCCCCTGCCTGCGTTACCAGTATACAGTCATTTCGATAGTTCAATTATTACCCTTTGCATTACCAGTAACTACTGAATTGGTATGATGTGCGTAGACAACTTTTTCAATTGACAAAAAAAGCCAACAGTCTATTTTGTGTTCCTTTTTGGGGTATGAAGTAACTAGATCACCAAGTAACTAGCTATATAACTATACAATAGCAGACAATTGATATTTTTTGAACAACTGGGTAGGTCTTCTGGTCTTCTATGATAATAACTTCTGTTTTCCGTTGAAACAACCTTCAGATTTTCATTGAAAGAACCTTCTGTCCTACTAGAAAAATACTTTCTGGTCATCATTCGTCTGGAGAATAACTATTAATCTTCTGCAAGAAAAGCTTCTGATAATCTACAATAAGACCTTCTGGTCGCCTATAAGTAGGTCTTCTGGTCTTCTATGATAATACTTTCTGTTTTCCGCTCAGTTTTTCGCTGAAAGGACCTTCTATCCTTCTGGAAAAATACATTCTTGTCTCCTTCAAGAAAAGTTTCAGTAAGAAGATCTTCTGGTCATCTATAAGAAAACATTCTGGATTTATATATAAGTAGACATGGAGACCTTTAATGATACCCTATTGCCTTTAGACATAAAAAAAATCTGCTGATCTTCGGTCTCGTCTCATATATGAGTCGTTTATTTTGAAAGAGCTTTAAGTCAATTTAGTCTTATATTCGGATATTTATAGGGTTGGTAAGTTGTATAATTAGGGATAGGGTCTTGTCACCGCAACCATCGATTTGTATCACAAATGAAATCATTAGTAGTTGGGCCATTTGTGGAGCACAGCTGGAGCTACACGCCCCCGATGTTGAGGAAAGCTTCATGTGATCGATTTCTGGACCTCAAATAGCACCTGCTCATCCAAGAATATGTCAAATCTCTGATGGCCTAAACGGGTCTCATCCAATTTTTCGTCCACATGATTTGTTTCAATACCTTTTTGTTTGCGGCTTGTGCCCTTCTTGGAAATCGAAATTTGTATCAGAACCTAAAATGGACTTAAAGCACTTTCAAAATAAACGAATCACATAAAGATTTTTTCTGGTCTTTTATCAGAGGACCATCTAAACAGTATCTAAAAAAATTATAAAGTTGTGTATATCAACTATCTATGGTAGGGGTAAGGGGTTGAAGGAGTGGAATATTGGAAATGGGTTACTATTATTATCTAAAACTATGTATTCGAAAAAAACAAACTCTGCTTCTTCTATTTCTTCTTAAGTATTAACTAGTTTCGTCAAGTGAAAATCAAATAGTCACAACATTTGAACAATACTTAACGATTAAATATCTAAAATGTGAATAGGTATCTATGTGGGAGTGGGTGTGTGTGTGAGTATTTAATTCTATAAAACGTGTGTTTCATTTCTTAACCGATTAACTTATTATATAATACCACAATATGTACGTTTTAGTGCCAATTTTCGAAAGTTTATCTTATCATTGTCTATAGGCTATACGATTTTTTAATAAAGAAAAACGTTCCTTTTAGAACTATATATGTATGAAGGACAAAATCAATTCCACTTTGTAGTTAAGTTATCGTCACTATAAATATATTTAACTGCACATACACACAAACATGTAAGAGTGTGGGAATGTTTTTTTATAGGTGAAAAAATATGTAGAAAGGAAGATGTTCTTACGTTGCTAAATATTCTATATTTAATATTCTAAATATTTACAATTATACACTAATTTTAGTAAGTTTGTTTTTGTTTTGTAGTTGTTGTTGTTATTTATATTGCTACTTATCTATGGGAATATTTTCAATGTGGTTAACAAGCTCCTATAAAAAAACCAAACATACTACTTCTTGGCATACATACATCCGGCCCATGTATGCCACTTCAATCACTGGCTAAGTCATCTCCAATCAAACTACGATCCATGCCCTTCCAATTGCTGGTGCTCATTTCGGCTGCCGTTATACCATAGGCCTCACTGGGAAGACGTTTCTGACGACACAATGCCAGTCGGGTCTTGTTCGGCGATGTTGGCTGCAACAGCGGCGATGATGCCTGTGGCGAATCCATGTCATCGGTATTTTCCTCGGGACAACTATCCGATGGCGAAACAATACGTTCGCGGGTTTTAATCGATTTTTCAAGGCGTCGTAAAAATCTGAGGAAAGTAAACAATAATAAAAAATATTTTTTTTCTTGGTTGGTGAGTCTTACCTTATTTGAATTCCAATGGCTCTTAAGCGATTTATTTTACATTTAGGTTTAGGCGGATCCTCCTCCTTAACAATGCTGGGTGAAATTCGTCTCAAGATTGACTGGAAGAAAACATGAAATATAAAATGAGTTCTTCTACCGGAACAACAGCACGGCTGTTTTATACGAGAGCGGAATATCTTCTTAGAGCTGAGCGATTCTTCATAGAAGAGCTGAAGGTCTTATTCTCCTTCATAGAAGAGCTGAAGGTCTTCTTCTCCTTCATAGAAGAGCTGAATGTCTTCTTCTCCTTCATAGAAGAGCTGAATGTCTTCTTCTCCTTCATAGAAGAGCTGAAGGTCTTCTTCTTCATAGAAGAGATGAAGGTCTTCTTCTTCATAGAAGAGCTGAAGGTCTTCTTCTTCATAGAAGAGCTGAAGGTCTTCTTCTTCATAGAAGAGCTGAAGGTCTTCTTCTTCATAGAAAAGCTGAAGGGCTTCTTCTTCATAGAAGAGCTGAAGGTCTTCTTCTTCATAGAAGGGATGAAGGTTTTCTTCTTCATAGAAGAGCTGAAGGTCTTCTTCTTCATAGAAGGGATGAAGGTTTTCTTCTTCATAGAAGAGCTGAAGGTCTTCTTCTTCATAGAAGAGCTGAAGGTCTTCTTCTTCATAGAGGAGCAGAAGGTCTTCTTATTCTTCATAGAAGAGCAGAAGGTATTCTTCTTCATAAACGAGCAGAAGGTATTCTTCTTCATAGCAGAGCTGAATGTCTTCTTCTTCATAGAAGAGGTGAAGATTTTCTTCTTCATTGCAGAGTTGAAGGTCTTCTTCTTCTTAGAAGAGCTGAAGTCTTCTTATAGACCTTCTTCCATAGAAGAACTGAAGATGTTCTACTATAAAAGAGCTTAAGGTCTTCTTCATAGAAGAGAAGAAACTCTTCTTTATGAAAGAGCGGAAGGTCTTCTTCTATAGAAGACCTGAATATCTTATAGAAGACCCGAGGAGACGTCTTACAGACATCCAGAAAATACTTCTTATAGAAGACCAGAAGGACTTCTTATAGAAAACCCGATACGTCTTAAAATAATAATAGAACACTATAAGAACTTCTGTTAGCAAAGCAGAACGGACCAGAAGGAACTTCTCATGACACTCTAATAGATAACTTAAAAGTGGGATTGTGGGGGCCTAAAAGTTCTCCTCGACTTTCTCATGGACCTTCTGATATTTCTATTTTTGTTGTCTTGTTTTTTATTACTTACATCTGCCACCTCATCTTCGCTCAGACTCTCTTGCTTCCGGGGCCTTTTCTCACGATTCGGGGAATTTAAACCTGCAAATTCGAAAATAATTTTTTTTATTTATTTTCATGCACACCAAAATATCACATTGTGACAACTCACGTCGTGGCAAAGGTCTAACGGTCAACTCTTTCGTTGAATTGATGCTTTCCGATGATGACGAACTACTCGCCACTGCGTGACGTGTCAGCAAGCGTCGTTTGGGACTTTTACGCGTCGTTACTGTAATGGCAGGGCATGGATGGTGATGTGAGTGGCAATGCTTATTGCAGACGTGACCAATACTGGTGGGTGTCGACGAGGTGTTCAGCGACTCCTTGGAGGGTACATCTAGCTGTTGTTTCGTTGGCGATTGTGTTGCCGAACATTTCGATGATTTACGTTCACGTTTTTTACTGCTACTGCGTCGTTGATGGGTAAATGAAGCACCTTTGCCATCCGACGATGGAAAATCGTATAATCCATCGGAGTCGGTAAATGGTAGCTGATCTTTGCGGCCATAGAAATGTGGTGAGAAGCGTCCGATACCGGCACGTTCGCTCAGTGGGCTTTCAGAGCGTGATGATACCGGCGATAGGGTCTTGTCACCGCAACCATCGATTTGTATCACAATTGAAGGCAGTTGTAGTTGGGCCATTTGGGGAGCTGTACAGTTGGAGCTACACGCCCCCGATGTTGAGGCCAGTGTACATGGTGGCGGTTCCTCGACCTCAATTAGTACCTCCTCATCCAAGAACATGTCAAATCGTCGATGGCTTAAACGGGTCTCATCCAATTTTTCGTCCACATGATCTGTGCCGATACCTTCATCATTCGATTCGATCAATATGTCATCGGAAAATGTTTCCGAATCGGATCGTGGACGATGACTATGCAAGCGATCCGTTTTAGCACCACCGGCTGCCGCCGCCGCTGAACCCGTACACTTACCATTGCTGATGTTCTCTTTGCAGCTGGGCAGCACTGCACTCTTGCGCCGATTCATCAGATTGACATGTAAGGACAGACCGGCTCCCGAATGACCACTGCCTGGCGGCTCGTCCATTTCGTTGGGATAGAGCGGATTACTGGAGCCACAACGGCTTGGTCCCGGACTGGCCATGCTCGAGTAACCCGACGAGCTTAAATTGCTCTCCGATATTGTGCGATCCGCACGAGTGCACATTGTAAACGGACTTAGATAGCACATGCCGACCGGATTGGGTGGCATCAGGCCACCGGGTCCGCCACCACCTCCCATCATGGTTTTGGGTGCCGGCGACAATGGCTCTGTGTCCGATTCAAGTTCGCTCATGTTCGATGTTACCGTTATCATGGGCGGCACAAATGGAAAATCCAGAGATGTGGGTTTCTCAAATTGTTTTAAGAGCCTGCAAGGGAGAGAATTCAAACGAAAACCAAATGGGGGCATATTAATTTTTATGATTCCGATCGGAAATTTTCAATTTATCTGGCATCCATATTTACATACATAAATATACAGAGTATTTTATATACATAGAGAAAACACAACATGGCGTTCGGCAAAAATACTCTAACGCTTTGGAACAAAAAGAAAGGTTTACTAAGTTACTAAAAGAAATGTTCGCAATCAAATTGAAATACTCAACAGTTTTCCATTTTTTGTTTTTGTTATTTTTTTTTGTTGTTGCTGAGATGCACAAAAGAATATTTATGTTAATTGTTTTTTTTTAATTGTATTATCTGTTGTCGTGTTTTGTTTGACTGTGTGCGTGTAGATTGTGTTGAATGTAATTGTTGTAAAAATTAAAAATTGGAAAAGAAACAAATATTTGATTAAGCTTCTAGAACTAGTAATTATCAATCAAAAGCCAAGAAAAGTTCGCCCAAAAAGGAATTGAAAATAATAAGTTGATGATAGTTGACCATTACAAATCGGTGGTATGCCGTATATCCAGGGACGTACGAAATGAAATTTTTTCACAGTAAATTTATGTTTGCAATAGCGAATTTTTTCATTTTGTACTACCGGGCCCCCCACGAAATGAAATCCTGTGTACGTTGCTGCGTATATCCATATAAAGAAGTCGGAAAGGCCGACTGAATGGCAACCAAACTAGAGGTGTACGAACGTTAGATACTATTAGGTGATAATTCTACCGATTAATATAAGGAGGTACATTTGGAAGTATACGATAAATTTTGTGTCAATCGAAAAAGAAACTTGGTACAATACTCAGCTGATTTGATTGTATCTAAAAATTTTTTTTGATTTAATTCGAATCAACACTAATTCAAGAATGTCCTTACAAAATTTCAAGTGAAAATCTTAAGAACTCTTGAAGATATAGCCGATTTACTGTGTCAGCATCAAGTGACGGCTAAAGGGCTTCTCAAACTTTAAACGCGTTTTTCTCTTTTGCGAATGGCGGGCATGATAACTCAAAAACTAATAACCCAATCGAGTCCAAATTTTTACACGTTTCTCTGTGAGTGTATAGCTCTCGTATGAACTAGGATAAAGCCAATCGGTGAAGATCTTCCTTATTTTTATACCCTTCACCACACTGTGGTACAGGGTATTATGTCTTTGTGCATATGTTTGTAACAGTAATTAATACTTAATTAGGTCCAGAATGATGTGTGCCAAGTTTCGGGAAAATCGGTTCAGATTTAGATATGGCTCCCATATATACTTTCGTCCGATTTAAGGTAAATGGTGCACCAAAACTCCTATATATCCTTCGATTTGCATGAAATTTGCCACAGAGTATTGAATTAAGTCCATAATGATGTGTGCTGAGTTTCGGTCCAGATTTAGATATAGCTCACGTATAATATTTTCGTCCGATTTAAGGAAAATAGGTCTCCAAAGTCCCTATATATCTTTCGATTTGCACGAAATTTGGCATAGGGCACTGAATTGGGTCCAGAATGATGTGTGCTAATTTTTGTGAAAATCGGTTCAGATTTAGATATAGCTCCAATATATATTTTCGTCAGATTTAATGTAAATTGTGCACTAAAGAACAAAAGATTGGCCGACCCACACACAATTTTGTACAAAGTACTGAAGTTACTATAACCTTGTGTGTGTCAAGTTTTCTTTAAATTGGTTCAAATTTACATACACCTTCTATATATATATACTTTCGTCCGATTTTAAGTAAATGGTGTACTAAAGACCCATAGCTAGGCCGATTGGCAAAACGTACTGAAATTAGTATAAATAAATCTCTGCAAGTTTCCTTGAAATCGGTTCAGATTTAGATATAGCATAGCTTCCATATATATTTTGGACCTATTCATGTTGATTGTAAACCAAATAATCAATGGGTTCTTGATTGATATTACATATTAAACAGTGAAGCAAACAAATAGCGTGCGTAAAGTTTGCTTAAAGTCAATTTAAAATGTATGGAATAGATTGCAGAATGTGTAAGGATTGATGTTAGTCGGTTTACTTATAGATAAAGATCACATTTTTAAGTACGTTCAATTTCATGTGAATGTTCCTCCGAAAAGACATCTGTAAATATACATATGTAGTATATCCCCAAAGTGGTGAAGGGTATCATATAATCGGTCCAGTCCGACTTTACTACTTTCCTTACTGGTTTAACTTGGTTTTTGGTCAAAAATCGGCGATTTCCCAAAAATATTTTTTCAAAGGTCCGCCATTTTGTTAATTTTAGAGCGAAGTCAATAATCCTGGGTAGTTATCATGCCCGCCATCAAAATTATGGACTTCTTTTTAATTGCAATAAACAACAACAATTACAAAATTTTTTGTAAATTATTTTTCTTCTCTTTTAAATCTTCAAATATATATGTGCAATGTTATAAACCTTAACAGGCATTGGTATTGATTTACCAGCCCATTGAAAATCCCTTAAACCTATTTATAGCAAACTTGATGCACGCTGTTCGGTAGCCCGCACTCTTCAAAATTTAATCTCAATCAGACACCCGTTTGAAATATATATGGAAGCTGTATCTGCTGTCATTCCAGTCACAATTCGATACGTTGTGTAAAATTTCATGTCAATCGGACAAACATTAGAAGTTTGGTGCACCATTTACCTAAAATGGGACGCAAATATATATGTGGGAGTTATATCTAAAAATCAACCGATTTCAACGAAACTTGCCAAAGATTAATTTATTAGGTTGGCGCGTATGAAATGTCGGATTCTTAAGTGATAGTATAAAACTGCATATTTTTCATTAAAATCTGTTTATTAAATCAAAGTATGCTCCATTCGCTTCAATACACATCTCCCAACGAGATTTTAAAGCGTAGATGCCTATCTTAAAAAATTTCTTGGTCTTTAGAATTAATAATCTCTGATATCGTGCTTATTAGACTGTCTTCATTTTCATTGTGTTTGCACTTTAAAATATCTCTAAATGCTTGAAAAAATTAATGTTATATCTAAATCGGAAAAGATTTCAAGGAATCTTGTAATTTCTTATATTAATTTCAGTACGTCGTGTCAATTGGCCAGCTATGGTTCTTTAGTGCACCATTTACTTAAAATCGGACGAAATTATATAAAGGGTCTATATGTTAATCAGAACCGAGTTAAAGAAAACTTGACACACGAAAAGTTATATTACCTTCAGTCGACTGTACAAAATCGGACAAACTTTGCGTCCTTAGTGCACAATATACATAAAATTGGACGAAAAGACATATGGGAGCTATATCTAAATCTGAACCGATTTTTACGAAACTTAACACACATCATTCTAGTCTTAATTGAGTACGCTTTACAAAATTTTGTGCAAATCGAAAGATAGTTGGGGATTTTAGTGCACCATTTACGGTAGTTCAAAATGAAAAAAATCGCTGTTGCAAACATAAATCTACTGTGAAAAAAATTCATTTCGGGGAGGGCCCGGGCCCACCGGGCCGCCCCCCTGCGTACGTCCCTGTCCTTGACTATAACTGGATCCTCATGGAACATTTCAAAGAGATCAGCGCTATATTTCCGCACTCCAGTGTGGTAATGTGTTACTAAATAACATATGAATACGTAAGCACCTATAAATATTTAAGTGTAACTTCCACAATCGAGTACATACGACAATATAATTGGTATCAATTTACAGGTCATCCACTACTACCAACGTCTCGGGTCTATGTCCTTTAAGAGTAAACATATACGTTATAGAATACAAATTTTGTACTTTTTTACACAAAAGCAGGGTCCATTTGACCCGCTAAATATTGACCAATCTTTGTCAAAACAGGCATTCTTATTCTTTGGCCCGATCCCCTTCTCCATGTAAAAATTCGCGATATTTGGGTCATAATTGCGGCCTCTGGAGCGACCAGAAAAATCGACAAAAATTAAGTATTGGTCCATTTCATCAACTAAATTGTAACCGATCTTTACCAAAAACAATAGGGGTCTTCATTGGCCAGAACCGGTCCTACATGCATGCACTCCCATAACCATTACAAGCCACCAAAATATTCTTTAAGGAGTTCACGACTATAACCTCTATAAACCTTTTTAAAATATTCATAAATGTCCAAATTTAACGATCGGCTTAGGACCAATATTATGCTCTGTTACAACACCCCACAATATATTTATATATTACAAATATAGGGTATATCGCACAATCTACAGAAATACCGATTAAAATTACTACAAAGCACTTGACCATAATAGAAGTTGGAGACAGGGCCTAATGCATTGTTCGAATGAAAATAATTTTGTAAAATGCAGAGGTTCAAAGTCGGATATAGGTTGAGAACCAGAATGTCATTCCCTGAATTTTTCACAATTCTAGAGAAACGATGTATCAAGTTTCATTGAATATTACTAATTAATTGTGGTTATTGACAAATTATGCAGTACTGACCTGATTACGGCCACACACTGCAATTTTGACACTACGACTTGTTCAGCACTGACAAGAATACACCTGGTTTATCCAGTTTCAAAGCGGTTGGCCTGTAAACATAACAAAAAAATGGTTGATGACCATTTTAATTTAGTTTTCTTTTGTTTTTTAGAGTAAGGCTCTTTTGTGGTAGTTGATATCTAAATGGACTTTGGGAAACTTGGGGTAAACGAAACTAAAGAGAGAAAAATACTCTAAACTGTACAAAATTTGAAAAAAGGTTTTGAAACAAGTCAGTAGATCCACAGGCGTGGTTATTTAAAGAATATTTTTTAAAAAGCCCCACAAGGGTGAATTTTTAACAAATATTTTATTAAGAAGAAGATTTTTAAAGAATATTATTTAAAGATCCCAGAGTTGTTGATTTTTAAAGAATATTTTTTTTAAAGCCCACCCCCACATGTTGTTTTAGCAGCTAGTACTGCTGTGTATTTCCTATTTTCTTTAATCTGGTTCTGCCTCTAACTCCAAATTCAGAAAGGCTGCTACC